ACAGTCTCGTTTTCTCTTCAGTTCCATTTACTCCACATACTTCATTACCACAGTTGTTGGGGGCAGAGCCTGGGCCCTAGCAGAGTTACACCACGCTACACTCTGTCACCTGCCCTCAACAGGCCAATTAAACAGACATGTAACACTGAACAGGAAGAGAGGGAGATTCATTCAAAATGTCCGCACTGGGAAGAGGAGCAAATAAAGAGGTCCAGTGGTCTACCCTCCCTCACATTTATCTCTCGGGTCCTGACTCGACGACGGTTAGCTGTAAACAGAGGGCAAGGAGAATGCGCACCCAGCAGCCCTGGTCACGGTGCGGTCCTGCCCGTCACAGACCCATCGTTGTCCCTCCTACAAGGTGATGTGACGAGAGCTGTCAGGACTGTGCGAAGTCTCTTTCCAGGGAGACATGCTCCCCCTCTGACGAGCGCCCCGGCTTCAGTCTCTTCTTCTCCCAATAAGAGACTCCAGGGAAACTCCCATTCCTTGGGGCAGATTGTCTGAACTGTCTGATTGCCAAAGGGAGAGGCAGAGTGTCACTCTAGAATAATTTATCCAGAAGCGGGAGATGGTTTAGTAGTGAAGAGCGGGCATGTGCGCGCGCGCGCGTGTGCGTGCGTGTGTGTGTGTGTGTGTGTGTGTGCGTGCGTGTGTGTGTGTGTGTGTGTGTGTGTGTGTGTGCGCGCGTGTGTGTGTGTATGCGCGCGCGCGCACGCACAAGGCTTTTGTAGAGGACCCAGGTTCAATTACTAGTACCCATATTGACAGCTCACCACGGCCTGCAACTCCAGCTCCAGGGACTGGGGCTCCCTGTAGCCTCTGGGAGTACCTGCACTCACTCATGCCAGGGTGGTTACAACTCCAGTGAGTGACTACCTACTGTGTGCCAGGCTTCCAGACAGTGAGTGGCCTGTTCTGTGAGGCAAAAGGAGACACGTGCTGAGACTGCTGCTTTAGAGGAGCAGGGACACCATCTCGGGCTGAGGGCAGTAGATCCCTGGGACACATGACGAGCTATCTCGGCAGAGTGTAGGACCTCTGGATGCCCAACCTCTCCAGCTTACCTGGACTACCCAAGTGTGTTTAAAGGTACCCACTCACTGTCAGCTAGATCTTCCTTGGGGACATGAGGTGACTGTTCTGATACCTATGCAGGGTCCCTCCCCTTCTCGAGGAATGTATCTGTGTGTTGGAGGCAATCCTCCCCTCAGTGGGTTAGGCTGAAAGAGGAAATTGCGGCTAAGCATTTAATTCCCTTTTAATGTTTACATTATTAACACTAGCATTACAAAACGATATTTTTACTTTCACACCATTTAAATGTGCAATTCGATGTCTAGATTACTGGGATCATTATAACTTGGAATCGGAAGCTGTGCTCCCTCCCTTGCTAATGCCTGGTTTCTATAAAGAGCGATTAGGGTTCCCCAAATACCCATTCCAAAAGGCTGGGGAGGAGGGCCCCAGTGGGGCTTTCCGCTGAGCCAGGAGGCTGCATTGGCTGTGAAATGAGTGACAGCCAGCAGGTGGGTGTTAAAGTGGTCATCAACTTCCCACAAGGCTGGCACCACTGAGCCACATTCCAGGCAGTGCCCATTAATGTGCCCTAAATGGCTCTGGGTGATTGACAAGCTATTGAGCTCAGAATCTAGCTCAAACCACCCACAGAGGGGAAGGGAAAGGTCAAGTGGACCCTAGGTAAGACAAGGTCAAGTGGACCCTGGGAGCCCTTGGAACATGATATATAAGAGCCTATCCCTGCCTGTGCTGGCTAAGGCCTGCCAGGAACATATCTCATGTCTGTGGCTCACCACTACAGGGCTCAAATCTGAACTCTGCCACTTCCCAGTTGGTGACCCTGTCCAATCTTAGCCTTCCTGTGCCTCAGTTTCCACCTCTGGAAAAAGGAGGTAACAGTGGCCCTTGAACCATCATGGAAACTGTAAGTTTAATCTGTGGGTAATGTTTGGTTACTACATTAATTTACCACGTAATTCCCATTTTCTTTATGTCAAGTTTATATATTGGTTAATTTACCTATTTTGAGACAGGATAGCACTATGTAGCTAGTTGTGGCTGGCCTGGAACTTACTATGTGGACCAGACTGGCCTTGAACTCACAGAGATCATTAGCCCACCTCTGCCTCCCAAATACTGGAATTACATGCGTGAGCCACCAAGCCTGGTTTATGTGGTGTTTAAAGATGGAACCCAGGGCCTCATGCATGCAAGGCAAGCGTCCCACAGACTTAGCTGCAGCCCTCTTTATTTGTTTATTCATCAGTCCATGCTGACCCCAAACACACTGTGTAGCTAAGATTGGCCTTGAGCCCCCGAGTCTCCTGGCTCACTCTTCCCAGTCCCGGGAACAAAACAATAATTCTCGTTTTAAAACGAAGAAACTGGAGCTCAAGGGCTGGGAGTGTGGCTCAGTCAGTTGAGTGCTTGGCTAACATGCAGGAGGTGCTGGAGTGACGGCAGAATTATACAAATCGGACAGAGCGGCATACGCTGCTGTAATCCCGACACCAGGGAGGCCGGGGGAGGAGGGAGCAGAACGTCAAGGTCATCCCCACTACTCGATGATTTCCAGGCCAACCTGGGTTGCATGAGACCCTGTCTCAGAACAAGAAATAAAGAAAGAGGGACCTCTGGAATGGTTCAGCAGGTAAAGGCACTTGCTGCCAAGCCCAAGGAACTGAGTTTGATCTCCAGAACCACATGGTAGGAGGAGAAAGTGGGCGCCTTTTAGTAGAGCTCTGACTTCCATACAGGCCCCCCCGCAAAGCAACCAAAGGAAAAGGGAAACCAAAGCGCCAAGCAACTGAGAGAAACAAAACCAAAGACACAAACCCCACAAGACTGTTGTCCCTGCTGCCCCCTGCCTGGCAGCCTGCCTTGCCCTCCCTGGATGGCTCAGGTCTATGCCAGCAACAGCCCCTCAGGGATTGCCCCTCCCATCAATGTGGATTCCATACCCATTTCAGAGATTAGTCCATTATCATCACAGCAGGGAGCATGGTGGCGTGCAGGCAGACATGGTGCTGGAGAAGGAGCTGAGAGTTCTACATCCTGACCCGCAGGCAGCAGGAAGAGGGACTAAGCCTGTCTTGGGCTTTCAAAACCTCAAAGCCAAGTGATACACGTCCTCCAACAAGACCAGGCCTCCTAACCCTTGTAATCCTTTCAAACAGCTCCACTTCCTGGTGACTAAACATTAAAACATATGAGCCTGTGGGGCCATTCTTATTCAAACCACCACACCCATCTCAACTTTTCCTGGACTTATGTATGAAATCACCTTGTTCATCTAACAAGTTAATTCGAAGAGAGTGCTATTGTCAATGTTATTTTACTGTAGGTTTGCTTGGTGGCTGCCTGTCTCATGAAACGCACAGGGGAGGGGCCTTCAGCTGTCCCCTGCGCTCCATGACAGTGTGACCTGTGCAGTCACCAATGCCATTTCCACATTTGCTTGATACTCTGCAGTTATAGTTTTCTTTTTCATTATTTTATTTTTTTTCTAGATAGAGTTTCTCTGTGTAGCCCTGGCTGTCCTGGAATTCACTATGTAGACCAGGCTGGCCTCGAACTCAGAGATCTGCCTGCCTCTGCCTCCCTAGTGCTGGGATCAAAGGCGTGTACTACCACCGCCTGACCTGAAATATCTTCAAATTCCTGATTATTAAAAAAAAAAAAAAGTCCATTACAATTAGCTGAACATAGCAGCGAGTGTCTTTAATCCCAGGCAGCCAGAGATAGAGTTCCTGTCTCAAAAATAAAATTACATTGATTTATTTTCTGTTTATATAAGTGTGGATGCTCCTTTACCAAAGCTCATAAGTGCCGGTCCCTTACCATGTGGGTCCCAGGATGAAACTCGGGACATTGGCTTGGCGGCAAATGCCTTTACCTGCTTTAACCAACTTACAAGAAGGAATCAGTTCTCTCCTCCCACCATGTGGGTCCCAGGAATTGAACTAGGGTCCTCGAGTCCGGCGGCAAGCACCTTTACTTACTGAGCTCTCTCGCCAGCTCCATGTATTTTTCGAGGCGTCTGGACTGTGCACCCAGCACCTGTGCAATTTTATATTGGGAAGCACTTGGGACGCAGAGCAGAAGGTTCTCAAGTTGGAGGCCAGCCTGGGCTATTTAGCAGAACCCTGGGGACTGAGGAGATGGAGCCCGGCTGGTGGCATGTGCTTTTAATCCCAGCACTCAGGAGGTAAAGGCAGGCGGTCTCTGTTAGCTCAAAGTCAGCTGGGTCTATATAGCAAGTTCCAGGACAGCTAGGGCTATCCAGAGAGACCCTTTCTCAACTCCTGTTCTGCCCCTCCAAAAAACAACAACAACAACAAAAATGCTGTGGGATGGTCTGTATGTCAAATTGCTCTGATTGGTCAATAAATAAAACACTGATTGGCCCATGGCCAGGCAGGAAGTATAGGCAGGACTAACAGAGAGGAGAAAGGAGAGAACAGGAAGGCTGAGGGAGACACTGCCAGCCGCCGCCATGACAAGCAGCATGTGAAGATGCCGGTAAGCCATGAGCCACGTGGCAAGGTATAGATTTATAGAAATGGATTAATTTAAGATATAAGAACAGTTAGCAAGAAGCCTGCCACGGCCATACAGTTTGTAAGCAATAAGTCTCTGTGTTTACTTGGTCGGGTCTGAGCGGCTGTGGGACTGGCAGGTGACAGAGATTTGTCCTGACTGTGGGCCAGGCAGGAAAACTCTAGCTACACAAAAACAAAACAAAAAACAAAAGAACAAAAACTCACCCATACACAGAGGATTTGATTTGATTCCCCAGCACTCACATGGTGGCTCACAACCACCTCTAACTCTCGTCCTAGGGGATCTGATGCCGCCAGATACACATGCAGTGCACAAATATACGTGCAGCCAAAACACCCATTCTGATGCAACAAGAATAAATTGATAAAGTCAAAATAAAAACACAGAAGAAAAGGTGCTTCCATATATTGCCTCACCACACGGCACTGTCTTAGTGTGCAATCTCTGATGGTCTCATGACAAGATCTCCTGATAATGTTCTTCTCATTTTCCCCATCGTTAAGCAGAGCTTGGCTGTATTAGGCAGGACTGTGGAATACAGAGAGAGAAATATTATCCAACTGTAGAGGAAAATGGGGGAGGAAGATCAGGGGCGGCTTGGCAGTGACAGGAGACAAGCCTTGGGCGGAAGTGGGAAGGAGGCAGAGGGAGAGGTTTAATCTGAATGGATCGGTGGGTGGTTTAAACAGGGAACAGTTTTCCACAGCTCCAGGGGTGATGTTCAGAGTGAGGAATTAGTGAAAGGGAGTCTTGGCTGGGGCGCTATGCCAAGGTGAGGTGCTCAGTGGTCGTGGCCCCCAGAAAACGTCCCTGATTCCCATCAGGCTCTAAGCCCTGTCCCAGCCTCACCTTGGCTCTCTTGGTAGCCACAATGTTGGATGGCTTTCCTGAGGTCAAAGGGCAAAGTTGGTTCATTTACTCCTCAGTTCTAGGCACTGAGGGCAGGGCTGGAAACCACGGTGTCCACCCCAGGTATGACTTTGAAGAGCACTTGGCTGGCCACAGCTGACCTGGGGGCAGAGGTGGGGAGACCCCCTGACTTAGGCAGTAGGCAGAATAACTTGATGGCAGGGAATGGTTTTTCGTTTCACCTGAAGGATAAGCGCAGTGAGGAGAGGTTGAGAACGGTGCTGGGTGCCAGGGGAAGTTCAAGCCTGCCTGCCTCCTCCTGTGGTCTCCCTTTCTCTACCTGCTACACAGCAAGGGGTCCCGCCCACCAGCCCTCCTCCTTCTGCCTCAAGAGTTTGCTCCCTATGTTGTGAAGGCTGACAGACCTAGGTTGGAATGTGGTTTTGCTCATTCATTCATTCATTCGTTCGTTCATTCATTCACTCATTAAACACTAATTTCTAGAAGCCAAGTGCAAAACAAAATATGGGAAATTCCTTGTTAAAAATATCAAGAGGAACCAGGTGGTGGCGCATGTCTTTAATCCCAGCATTTGGGAGGCAGAGGCAGGCAGATGTCTGTGAGTTCCAGGACAGCCAGGGCAATACAGAGAAACTCTGTCTCAAAAGAAAAACCATATATGTATATGAAGAGGAAGGGGGTCGGCCGGCAAGATGGCTCACCAGGTAAGGCACTTCACTGGTGGTATATGTGCCTATAATCATGGGAGGCTGAGGCCGACCTGAACCATGTAGCAAGCACCCTGTTGCTTAGATGGCACATTTGGGACTGAAGAGATGACTCGGTCAGTGGTTAAGGGCGTTTGCTGTTCGTTTTTTTTTTTTTTAAAGATTTATTTATTTATTATGTATACAGTGTTCTGTTTGCATGTATCTCTGCAGGCCAGAAGAGGGAGTCAGATCTCATTACAGATGGTTGTGAGCCACCACGTGGATGCTGGGAATTGAACTCAGGACCTCTGGAAGAACAGCCAGTGTTCTTAACTTCTGAGCCATCTCTCCAGTCCCAGCGTTTGCTGTTCTTGCAGAGGACCCACGTGGTAGCTCACAGCTGTCTATGATCCCAGTTCCTGGGGACTGATGCTCTTTTCTGACCAGGAATGCACTTGGTGCACATAGGCAGATATTCCTACACATACAAAAAAAAAAATTTCTTTAAATTAAAAAGACAGTGCATTTTATGTTGTATTTTGCCATAACAAAAATAATCATCCTTGGGGCTGGAGAAATGGCTCAGCTAGCAAGAGCACTGGTTGCTCTTGCGGAGAATCAGGTTTGGTTCCCAGAACCCACGTGCGGCTGTGGTGCGCAGACATATATGCAGGTCAGCACTCATACGTATAAAATAAAATAAAATAAATAAATAGACTTTTTTTTTTAAGTTTTCCAGGCCGAAGCAACCTTTTTGGTACTACATTCGTAGGAAGCCTATGCATGAGGTGAGGAGTATATTGGAGAGGCTGAAGAGAGAGCGATGATAGCTGAGAAACTGTAGCAGAGGTCCAAGTACTGGAGACAAGTACCGGGCAGTAAGTGTGGGAGTGGGCAGGTGTGTGTGGCCGGCAAGTGCCTGCCAGAGATTAAGTTCAAACACACCTTCATCCAATAACAACCTGCATTTACATGCAAATCTTTCCCTTAGGCAAAACACCGGAGGTCTCGGGGGAAGCTTTTTCAGTCTCGAGCTTGTGAAGTCATTTGAAAACGAAAAGCAAAGCTGTCTCCAGGGTACACCGCGTCTGCTTTGCCCCTGGGAGCTGGGCGAGTTCCTGGACAAAGACTGAAGAAGAGCTCAGGGCTCACACTCACTGGTGAGCAGCGCCCCTGCCTGGAGGGCAGCAAGCCGTCGGCGAAACTGCGCATGTCCGCCGGCCGAAGCCAGCGCGCCTTAGTGCGCACGCGCCGCCCGCGGCCTCGACTCCTCCCCCAGGGGCGGGGCCAGCGGGGCCCAAGATGGCCGCTCTCCGCTACCGCCGTTTCCTTAAGCTCTGTGAGGAATGGCCAGTGGACGAGACCAAACGGGGCCGGGACTTGGGCGCTTACCTGCGGAAGCGGGTAGCACAGGCCTTTCGGGAGGGAGAGAACACCCAGGTGACCGGAGGGGAGGAGGTTGGAGGCGTCGAGCGAGGGGCGGCCAGGGTGGGGGGTTGTGCGCATGCGTCGGCCCCGTGACAGGCTGCACGTGTGCGAGGTCCCCACCTTCCTGCGAGCTGTGGAGGGCGACGCCTTCTCCCCGGGGACCGGTGGAGCGCCCCTGAGGTCAGATGCCACTGAAGAATCGACTTGTAAGGCGGGGTTGTTTCTTCCGTCACATGGTTAACGTGTTTGTGAGCCGAGCCTGCCCCCAAGAACCCCAGCAAGACTCCGCCAAACCCCTCTGTCTCTCGCCCTGGAAAACTGTGCCGCGGGTTTGGGTCTTCCACCCGGGACCCTCGTGTGAGTAGCAGGACTTCCCGCCCGCCTCTGGCCTAGGTTCCCTTGTCAAGCACGGCCATTTGCCGCGAACGAGGTTAGGTTCCAGGGAGACAGCGGGGATTAGGCAAGGTCTTGCCCCACGTGGCTTTTTTTTTTTTTTTTTTTAAAGGTTTATGTATTTATTATGTATACAGAGTTCTGTCTGCATGTATCCCTGCAGGCCAGAGGAGGGCACCAGATCTCATTACAGATGGTTGTGAGCCACCATGTGGGTGCTGGGAATTGAACTCAGGACCTCTGGAAGAGCAGCCAGTGCTCTTAACCGCCGAGCCATCTCTCCAGCCCCACCCCATGTGGCTTTGAATGAACAGGACACAGGGAACAAGTCGACGCATCAGACAGCCCCAATAAGTTCTGTGATCACAGAAAATGTGGTGTTCCTGGGGCTTGCCTGAGGGACATACGTTGGTGAGTCTCAAGGTACCAAGAGTCTTCGGGAAGCAAGCCAGAATGAAGGGTAGTGAATGGTGTGCCCACAGCTAAGATTTAAAGCTGAGGAAGGACAGGAGCCGGGCACCGTACAGTTTTTGTTTTAAACGTGTTTGGGTATTTTGCCTACCCGTATGTCCCTGTACCACGTTAGTGCAGTGCCCACGGAGGCCAGAAGAGGGCGTTGGATCCCCTGGAGCTGAAGTTCCTGGTGGTTGTGAGCCACCACGTGGTTACTAGGAATTGAACCTGGATTCGTTTCAGCTGCCCAGCCACCCACTCCAGTCCTCCCATTCGGTCTTAAGGGTTCCGACTAGGAGTCGGACCTTACCATAAGGCCAGTGAGAAGCCACCGGGGACATTTAATCAGGGGACGGGGACGGAGGTGACCTGATTTTAAAAGGTTTCTCTGGTGCCGCGGCAGATGGATTATAGAGGGCAAGAGAAACAGGGAGGCCCCAGAGGAGCCTGCTGTGGTGACCCAGGAGGAGATGCTGGCCCTTTGGGTAAGGGTGGCCGCACAGAGACGGAAGTAACTGGAGCAGTTTGGATTGTGCAAGTCACATGAACAGCATGGACGTGCTGGCTGTGGGGTGGAAGGAAAGAGGAACCAAGGACAGCACCTAGATTTTCCCCCTTTTCTTTTTTGGGCTTGAGCAGCTGGGTGCCATTTACTCAAATGGGAAAGACTAGATGAGGAACAGGTGGGGTGTGGGAAGAACATCGCGCGTTTGATGTTAGATGCTTTGAGCCTGAGATGCCGAGTAGACATTTCCAAGTGGAAATGTCAAGTAGGCAGGAGGTCATTTGAGCGTGGGGCTTAGGCAAGAGGTCAGAGGTGTCAAGTGAGATGCACAGCGCACGTACTGGCCAAACAAATGACCTGTGAAACCGGACTACGACCTGCCAAAGCAGGAACGTGGGGATAGTGCAGCTAGACCAGCCCACCTCACGAGTGAGGGCGTGCCAGTGGCATCCTCATGACTAGACTGCTGTGAGTAATGTGGATGGAAGTCTGGCCCAGGACTTCTGTGAGTCTGGGGAGGTCACTCTATGCACAAGGTCCTCACATGGCGCTTAGTGGTCTTCACTGACCTATATCATATGGATCTTGAGGCAAACCCCATGGGCTTTCTAGAGCTATGCTCCCTAATTTATGTTATGAGCCTCCTGAGAATAGGGATGAAGCCCCCACCCTCATTCATCCACCATGTCCAATATGGTTCTTGGCACACAAAAGCATCCAGTGAATATCTGAATGAGCAAGCAAGTGGTTGTGGTTTGTGAGGCCAGTCATCTCCAGTCCGGTTGCACATGTAGCAGAAGTTGGAAGAAGCGCTGAGGTGGGAGGGCAGGCTTCTGTGTCCTGCATGCAGACTCACTTGGTAAATTCCTTGGTTTGAAGCTTTCTGTGTGTGGGGTCCCAGGCACTGCTGATGTAGGTGAGGTCTGCTCCTTGGCCCCAAGTACCTTAGTTGAGCAGCCAGAGGCTAGAGGGAGAGACTGACACTCACCTACTTGATTGTTAGCATAATACAGCCAGCTTTCTCTTTGGGAGTTGTCATCCGTTGTCATCACCTAGGGACACAGTTTCTGATCAGCTGAGGCCCACACAGACTTGAGTCATAGCTGCAGATGCAAGTCAGGGCTTCACCGACGGTTCTGCCACAGCTGATGGATGTGTTCTTGGTAGAGTGAATTAGGGTGTCGTGGTGGCAGTGGACACATTACTCAGGACCTTTGTCGTAGCTCATCCTGATGTCACCTGAAATTGAGCCTGCCTGGGCTTAGTAAATCTTGGTGGTAATTTTTGGAGGGAGCAGTCCTTGGCTGGGACAGAGAACAGTGTGTGAGTCACTCCCACCTCCACCCCCGGATCACTTAGAAAAGACCTTGAGAGAGAAAGGTGGTTCTGAGAGACGCTTCATTAAACCGACAGCAGAAGGCGGGATGAGACCCCGGGGGTGGCAGATTGCTGTGTCCCCCGCCTTTCTGCCACTTGTCCAGAAAGCGGCACTGGAGGAGGTGGAGCAGCTGTGTGGAGACCCGCATCCTCTCGGCCTCTTGGCTTCCTGTGGTCTAACAAGGACGTAAAAGGTGCTTGGAGCACTTGGTACATCTCATCTGATTTTATCCTTTGTGCCACCAAGTGAAGTAGCCATCACTGTCCTGATTCTTACATTGAAGTCAAATCAGAAAAGTAAAACGGCTGAGCCAGGTCTCTTGACGACCAGCCAGTGCCCTGGTCTGCAGGGGGGTGAGGGGGCCCGGTGTCAGCAGGTCCCCCCTGGTCAGTCCTCTTGAGAGACCCCTGTGAAGTTCCTCGGTGAACATCAAGT